GTTTAAAAATGTTTTTACATTAACTGCAATTTTTAAATTAATACCATCATGATCTCCCTGCCTATTTCATGCCATGATAATTCAAATTAATATAAATTAACACCATGGTAAAGTATATTGGCACTACGTAATTCAATTTAGCTTATAAATCTTGTTTTACTATTGACTACATAGATTATACAATGGTATAATTCCTACATTTTAATCAGTTACCTTGCAGTGCTTTGCTTACTAACTGTTTACTTTTAGAATATAGGGGTTGAAGCCAACATTTGGCCTATTTAAGGAACATAAACGGCGAAGCGCAGGACACATATTAATATATAGGTAACTTTTACATAAAATACGCAGTGTTGCAAAAGAGAGGGAGCAACACGAAAAGGGCATGTGGAGACATCCGATGATGCCAGTAACTCGCATTTGGAGCATGTTCCGACAGAAATATAACGAAACAATAGCTGAACAGTTCGCGTGAGTTTGCAATAATTATACATTGTTCAAATGGCGTAAGCAATTTGAGGGTATAAACAAGTACATTTTTAAAGTGAGTCTTGAAATTAAATACATATTTAAATGTCATTTTTATATAACTATGTAAGTTATATACCTACATATTCTTGTGGTTCATGGATAATTGACATTGACATAGAGTAATGGAATGTCTATTGGATTGAGAAATCATTTCAGCACTGTAAACAAATAAAGTTATTACAGTTGTAGTATATATGTAAGTACGTGATATGAAGCGTGAAAATGCTTTCGGAAAAAGGAAGAGCCTACTGGTGTAGTTCACAATTTCATATATTTTATTTTCATATTCATTTTCAGCAGACAATACGATAGTTTATAAGCTTTATTTCAGTTCAGAGCAAAAATGCAGTTAAGATGTCAACACGAGTATCAACATGAGACAACATAAGGACATTAATTATTTTTCATAACACTGCCATGGTACATGTGTATATTGTTATTAGACTAAATACAAATCTTAATTGCCTTGAAGAGGTCCTATGAGCTGTATTTTATAAATAAAACGTCTCCCCGCAGGAGTACGTAAAATGGTTAACCCTCGCAGGGTTATTAGTTATGTGGGTACCTAAGGAGTATCAAAGGTGACCATTATACATTTACGCATACTACCTACATGCAAATACATACAGGTGGTTATGTGAGACTCATCGGCAAAGCCTGTATTACTAACTAAAATCAAACCGAACCTACCCGGTCTAAAAGGGGCGTCGCAGGATTGCCGGACGTTAATGATCCCTCCACCACGACAAGATAAGCATATAAGCACATTGGAGGAGGATCTATGGAGACCTTAACGCTGAGATTTTCATCTAGCTGTGATATTAATATCATAATCACAAATGTTGAATGTAAGCCCCGTTCAGTGAGCTTAATATGAATATAAATCCTCGCGGGATTGACAATATACTTGTTCCACAAAACAATTTCTACAGATTTTTTGATTCTTGTCAGAGTGTGAGTCACATATTAATTTTCTCCAAGAGAAAATGGCAGTGAGTTTAATATGAATATAAATCCTCGCGGGATTGACGATATACTTGTTCCATAAAACAATCTCTACAGATTTTTGATTTGTGTCCAAATGTGAGTCACATATTAATTTTCTACAAGAGAAAATGGCAGTGAGCTTAATATGAATATAAATCCTCGCGGGATTGACAATATACTCGTTTCACAGATCAATCTCTACAGATTGTTGATTCTTGTCTAAATGACAATGAAACAGTAAAACATCAGGAGAAAATAGCAGTGAGCTTAATGTGCAGTTGTGATCTCAATTGGAGTTTGATATGTATAGCATAAAATTTAAGCTATGCGTTGAATGGTCACTTACATGATATAGTTTAATGCGTATAATTGTATGGGAAGGCATCGTCTCAATAAGATTGGTTCACTTTTATGAAGATACAAGTCGGATTTAAAAGATATAAATTTAGGTATGTATGTAATATATAAACTCCAAACCTGTGAATGAGTTGGCTTTTGAGCATTATAAGAAATATTATACATATTATTATTTTTTTTTGAACATATGGATATCGTATATCCATTTATCAAATTTCTAACCCGCACTGGGCAAGGGTAGTGGCCAATGGCCTGATCCCCCTCTTATGAAGGGAGGCCTGTGCCCAGCAGCGAGTCATTAAGACTTGCTGAACACGTTAAAAAGTATAATATTCTATTCCAGTGGTCGAACAGCCGAATCCAATTGGTTTTGGCCAAGGCAAATTATTAGAAGAAACAACAGTGTACCTTTACGAAGTGCATACGTTACGGGCCTTTCTGAATTACGTTGATTAAATGTAACGTAATGTATTTCATATTAAACTGATATTCCTACTCGGGGCATCAGGGGCAATTGCTATTTTAGGCGTTCCTGCTGTGCTTGTAACGACAGGTCGTCTTTGTTGCAAATTAAGCCTTAAAAAGCCTAAGAAATCATACAAACATTACATGTTGGTAAGCTACGGCGTTGAGAATTTTCAATAATAATAATAGTATTGAAAGTTCCAAGAACGATAAGACTCAACGTTAAGCATGGAATATAACTTAAAATATAACATTGGCAAATACTACTACTAATATATTAAGAAAATGACATTTTCTCAAGGAAGGCTTGAAATGTAGCACATTATAGTGAAAATTTATCCTTAATTTTGGATCACATTTATAAACTACAACGGAAATGACGTATTTTATATATATAAACGTATAAAATTGTAAGTTTTTGACATATTATTATGAAACCCCAGTCTGACAGCTAGGGTAGTTCTGAAAAATATGAATTATAGGCACAAATTGAGAGAGGTACGTAATACATTATAAAAATTATCCTTAATTTTGCGTGACATTGGCAAGTAATCTTTGCTTAAGTGACACGTTTTTGTAGCCACTAACAAGATAATTTAATGTCCATTGTTTGGTTATGGATTTTACCAAATGACCGACTTCTACTATATAAAAGTTATGGCGTATATTTGACGAGTCTTGGTTTTATAAGTGACATTGTTTTAAAATTTATATAATAGTACTCGTGCCTAAGAAGTGTTCTCAATTTATTGTCATATGTGGAAATATCCTGTGATGTGCATCTGTGTACATCATACGTAGCTTCTTCTACGTAAATCATAAATTTATCGTCGAGGTTAAACGTACGTACGTACGTATACGTATGTCATTGTTAAAAAATCATAAATTTTACACCAATGTGTATGCGAACATTTTTAACAGTATATTTCCGTTATGGTATTTTTGGCACACTTATGGAAAGGATTTACGTTAGGCGTTGTAATTATTCTAAATTAAATATTTATCTTTTCGGATTGTCAAATATTCGTGTAAATCTAAGAAATTATTATTCTAAAATTAAATAATATTATTAGAATTTTTAATTTGAATGCGAGTCATTTTGACGAAACAATGACTCGTTTAGCTGAGCTTTCTGAAACTAGATCTGTCTTGTTATTTTTTTTACAGCCTAGTATTATTACTAGCCTATTATTATTGTTATTTACCTACAACATATGTTAGTATCGTGCGAAGTCGACCTTTCCCTACCATAGTTATCATCTCATCTCTTGAGGTATCTCTCTATCTATAAATATAGGCACTTCCAAAGCCATTATCAAGTCTTAAGCGTTGTTACATTTGATTTATTTATTTTTTATATACGTAAAGAGTTGGTTTCCCAAACCAATGGGCTTCAGAGTTATTAAAGAAATGGTATAAAATGGGGCGCACTATTTATTAATAATGAAGAGGAATTGAAAGTCAACTAATGTGTGTGTTTTCAGAAGAATTTATTAATTTATTATTAACTAAAATTGGAATTTTAAAACGCATTAATTGTTAATGTTAGTTATTGAAATTATTGTTCGAGTATCGGGTCGCGCATAGTAATGTTAGATATTAGTTTTTCTGAAGGTCTAACGGTCTAGGGTCTCGGCTTCGGGCCTGATCACTGGACTGGGAGAGCGTAAGTAAGAATAAACTTGGTCATGTTAAGTGAACACACTTTTAAACCATAACATCTCGAGGGCAGATGGTTTCTGAAACATTGGCGACCGAGGCCGTAATCGGCCAGGGAGATGTCTCCCATGTTGTATTAATACCTTGTTGAGTTGTGTTATCTACAATATAATTTATTTTTTATTTGTAAAAGGACTTTGGAAAAGCACTGCATTAAGTGTTTATTTTGGTCTTAGTATAAATCTCATCTCAGTGTTTCAGTTACATACAGCAGAGTTTATTTCATCACATTGGCGTCCGTCTCCTACGCTTGCACCACCAGGCGATAACAAACAAGTCTCAATACGTAAGCTTCGAATAACGGTCAAGTCAAATTAATAGCAGCGTTTTACCTACCAATAAAACGCATATTAATTTACTTACCTTATTCGAAGCTTAACTTTGAATAACTGCCTGGTGTATCTCGACTCAATGAAGAAATAATTTTAAGAGTGGGAATCGTTCACACCGATCCCCACTCTCCTGCCAGGTGGTGCGATAGAGAGCGAGACAGTAGACGGATAGACAAGGATAGATATATAAACGGCGGAAACGGTAATGCCTATCTCAATACGTAAGCTTCGAATAAGGTAAGTAAATTAATATGCGTTTTATTGGTAGGTAAAACGCTGCTATTAAAAAAAAAACTAAAACCATAACCTATTGATTGAAGCCATTTCGTTGAGCCTAAACAAGATATCTCTGCAGTATTTAAATAAAGATTTGAGTATCGTCAGAGGTCTTAAATACAGAACCCCATGAGGACGTACTTATTCGTTTTTTCAAGCTAATTATAAGCTAATACAACGATCAAAATGACGATAGTTTGAGCTTTGATTCTTGCTTGAGACAAGTATTTGTTTGCAAATACTATTTATTATAATGTTCCTTAGATCCTTAATATCGGATAATATTTTATGCAGCATTTTCTCCTTTTTTTCAGGATATTTTAAGCCATAAGGATGTTTAACCGAGCGAGGTGGTTGATGGTAGCGATTGCGGCGGTGTTGGCCATACAGTCGAGAGGTGATGGCGGTATTAGATTACCCGACCAGCCTCCAAAAGAGGAGAATGAAGAAAGATCTTTGCATTATAATGATGATCGTGGAAGATCGGTAAGTTACTCGATACTAAAACTTTTAGATAGTAAAGACTATTGGTCAAATAACTAGAGAGAGAATGGGTTTATTGAACATCGCTGTATATAAACAGCTCTATAAGATTAAAGTACGAGTATTAAATTCTTGAATGTTTTAAAGATCTTATTTTTATATCTACTACATCTCCCTAGTATATTTAATCGTATTTCTGACTAATTCCCGTTTGTTGTCCCTCACATAAATATAATATAAGTTTCATTTCTTTTTTAAAATCAATGAAGTACATCTAAACCAACATTTAAATATATAATAATAATATATTTTATACTTAATGTATTCATTCTATACCCAGCCCGAAGCTCAAGGCAGGGGTTTCCTAGACTGGATAGGGTTAGGTGAGGATGAAGACCCGTATATCCAAAAAGCAACCCAGCAGTGCATAAATGGTGACCTGGCAGATTGTTTCAAAGCCCAAGCTTTGAGATCCTTTGACGATTTCTTCGATAAACCATCCTACCAGTAAGTAACTTGCTAACTAATTGAATATGTAACGCAATTGATTCTTAATAAAATAAATATACACGCTTAAAGGTATCTGCGCACTACACTGTCTCATACCATGACCGTGCTATGAACGTATCAGGCACGGAAACAAGCATGTACGTGCATGCACTACTATGCCCACCAGAACGTATCAACAGCGTATCATACCCGTACATAACGGTTCTAGTGCTGCTTAGTGCTTATGCTCACCATTACGCTGACTGCGCACACCGGTCCCGCAACGTCGCGTGCTATGCACGGAACGCACCGGCACCGACCAAATATTCTCGCCGACAATTTTAACCGGCGACGGTGCCGGTCGGTGACGGAACGGTCTAGTGGACAGAATCTCATACTTTTCCTGACACGGTCCTAGTACGGTCATGGTATGAGACGTTGTAGTGGGCAGACTTCTTAAGTGGTGTAGATGTGATTAATTATAGGTATTATTATAATTTTACTTTTTCTAGACCATAAAATACAACTGTTACCTGAAAATTAGACAAAATATTATAACAAAATATTTGTATTGAAATAACAAATTCAATCATAATTATACAATCATTAACTTTGCTTCGCTCGGGTGCGTCCCTAGGTACGTTTTAAATATATATTAACAGTTATTACGAGTGTACCATAGAAGATAAATAATACATGCTATTGTAGATTTTTATGTAGACCTTTTTAAGACCTACAATTATCTAGTAGGTACATTGTTTTTAAGTATCTATTAAGGTTTAGCCAGCTTTAAAATCGTGTTTTCTAAAAAAGGAATGAAAGATTTTTCTGTAGTAGCAGGTATCCTAAATGTTGACCCGAATAATATAGCTTAAAAATTAATAATCAATCACTACACAAAATTACAAAAACTCAGTTAGTATGTATGTATATGTTCATTCATTCATTTAGTTCATAATCTGTCTACAAAACATCCAAATTTGGGCGTTTCTGCACTAGCGTGAAATACAGGGCATTTATTATAGTAGTATAATAAATGCTCTACATTTCACGTAATACATATACTGTGATATATGTATTTAGTAATTAATTAAATTTTTAACTTACAGACTATCAGACAACGCGATTTTACGTAAAGTAGAATCCCAGGCACGAGCGCTAGCAAGAGAGCCACCGCAGTTGAGTTCACAACCGCGAAGTGAGGACTCAGATTGGGATTCCCTCGTCAAATATGGCATGAGAAAAATTGAAAGGTAAGAAAATGATTGCAATTAATACATTCATTTAGTAGCTAGGTTACATGCCCACACTGAAATACCTTTTTTAACGTTGGAAAATTCATTTACGAATTCCATCTGCAAGGAGATTCACCAGTCAGAAAACCCCACTTAAATCCAAAATAAACCTACGTCACTTAGGTACTTAATTATGATGCCTCGAAGGCTGGTCTATCAAGGTAGATCACGAACATCGGGGAGATCAACCCCCATGGTCCAATTTGATATCAGAAAACTACCAGAAGCAGCCCATCACCTTCCAGTGCATCTCTTAGGTTTACGTTCAGCTATATTTCCGGAAGCTAATGAGCAATACAATTTTTTACTGGATTTCCGAAGTTGAAAACCTTTAAAGAAAAGGTTCTAGCGCTGTTAAAATTGCTTGAACCTTTACATTGTAATTTTTGGTGTACTTGCTACTTCAACATATACTACTACTATTCGATATAATATCCTACTTTCATATTAAATTGAACTCTTTATTGAAATTGAGCTTCTGACATCTAAAAAGATATATAACGGGGACTTGATCTAAAAATTCAACCGAGTAAAATTGAATATTATCTATAACTTTAATTTTTTAAATATCCTTTAACTTAATAAAATTGTATTTTACTGACATTGCATCTGATCGCTGGTTTGTTTTCTTCACGCGAATGTTGCAGTTAAAAAAACTATACTGAAAAAAATCAATGAACGGATCTAGAAATACTTTATCAGTGAAGTTATGCGTATTTATGCCTTTAATTAGCGCTATCTAGCACGCATTTTCTCAAAATTCGTAAGAACAAATAGAGTAAAGTATTACAAATGAGCAAACCTTTTTTTAACTACCAATTTATAATTATATTGTAGAATATAAAATTTCGGGAACGTTAAACGAAATATTTCAAAGGATTTTAGAGATTCTCAGAAACATTAATTAATAATTACCTATCAAGCTAGTAAAGGAATTCACCAAAGGAATTCAATAACTCGACAAAACAATAACCCCCAACTCCATAGGCAATATACAACTAGGTATCCCAAACTTTATCAGGTCACCAAAAGTTTGTGAAATTTACTACATACACTGTAGAGTTTAATTGCGACGACCATAATTACTTTAAACAAAAAAGGTACGCAGATTTTAAAATCATTTAATTTAGTAAAAACCAAAAAAAAATTAGATCCCTTTTTGTAATCAGTCAAAAATCTTTAAAGGCAATAATTAAAATAAATAAAAATTGTGTAGAGAATGTGCTACGGTTTTATAATATTACCTGCCTTCTTCTTTTTCCTTCTTATATGAATTAAAAGGATATTTTAGAAAGTAAAAAATATTACATTAGCATTGTAATTACAAAAGTATTAACTTCAAAATCATTTAAAGCAATTATTTTATCAAAAGAGTTCACCTCTTTTTTGAAAATTATATAAGGACATTTTAGACATACTTTCTTAGATTAAAATTTCTTATTTGATATTTTAAATAAAACTATCTTTTCGATTTTTTCGCGTAATTTTTTTAGAACACAATATCGAAATAAATCCTCGAAAAATCCCTAAAAGATTGTTTTAGGATCATTCTTGAAATCTGTATATCTGTATATAAATATTATAAATGTGATAGTTTATGTGCATGGATGTTTGTTACTCTTTCACGCCAGAACGGCTAAACGGATCTGGATGAAATTTGGCACAGAGATAGATTATAGTTTGGAATAGCACATAGGCTATACTTTTTATCCCGGAAAAAATTACGGTTCCCGTGGAATAGGTTTGTTTTTGTTTTCCTAGAGACGAATCCGAGCAAAGCTAGGGTGAGCCGCCAGTTATTTAATAATTGGCAAAGCTATCGCATCTTATAATAAATAATACTTAATTGAACTGTTAATTTTATAGTCAGTGAACAAATTACGAGTATATTTCTAACAATCTCTCACCGATCTCATTTTGTACCCACATCGAAGAGCTCGGTGGTATTCCTTTATGAATAACTTAATGACCGAAAAATAATGTAATTCACCCTTTGCTCCATTTTCCTTTGAACGTACGATAAAATGCGGCTGTAATTTTTGATGCGTGTTTATTAACATATTCCTAATGAAAATCTTACCCATCCGGTAGTAAAATTAATCTGACAAAAACCGTACCAAATAGAAAAATATCATTGATTGTTATATCTGGCTACACTTTGATCTTATCCAGGATAAAACGTATTCTGAATTTCAATTAAAATTCCAATATCTATAGAACGTAAACTAGAAACAAACACTGCTTTAGTAGGTATGTAGTACCTGGGCGACCAAGCTTTGCTCGGTATTTTTAGAAAAGACACCCATATATGTAGAGAAACTTCAAAAGTAACACCTTATTTGAATACAAAATTTGTTACAAATCGTTAGAGCGGTTTCCGAGATACGTGAAATAAAATTTATATACAAGAATTGCTCATTTAATATTATAACATATCAATTTTATATATGTATATAATTTATTTGAGATATTCACAGCTTTACGAAGTTATAATACGCACCAATTAATTTACTCTTTTACATTTTTCTAGACCTTTCAAAGGCTTTTGACACAGTCTCTATCCCAATCCTTATAAATAAGCTTGAATCTATTGGCATTCGAGGAAATGTCTTGGATATTTTTTCTAGTTATCTCGGGAATCGCAAGCAATATGTAAAAATAGGAACACTAAAAAGTCATAACCTGCCTGTTAACTACGGGGTTCCGCAGGGCAGCGTGCTTGGTCCAACCCTCTTTTTTGATTTATAAATGACCTGTGTCGTATGACCATTCCTCATAGCAAAATTATCTGCTATGCAGATGACACAGTCATTATTGTAGAAGGTAAAACATGGGAACAGGCACGTTCTTTTGCGGAAAACGCACTTTCAGTAGTCATAAACTGGCTATCGACTCATCTGCTTACACTGAATTTAGCTAAAACTAAATTTATAACCTTCTCTCCTACGCTATCCTCACAACCTTGTAACTTGTTTTCGCTAAAACTTCATGGATGCCCACGTAATGTTGACATCTGCTCATGCCCATCCTTGAATCGAGTGGATAAAATTAATTATCTTGGAGTCGTCCTTGACAATTCTCTCTCCTGGCGTAGTCATATAGGTATGCTAATACAGCGTCTTAGGAAACTCTCATATATATTTAGGAAAATTTCTCATGTTGCAAATTTAGATCTCCTAATGATGGTCTATTTTGCACTCGTCCAATCCTTATTAAATTACTGTATTACTGCTTGGGGTGGCTGTTCTACCTCCATTCTTCTACCCTTAGAACGAGCTCAAAGAACCATACTTAAAATCATTTTAAAAAAACCAATCAGATATCCTACACATCTACTTTTTAAAGATAGTAAAGCGTTATCAGTAAGACAACTTTTTATTTTGAAGTTAATCTTAAAATTTCACCCACTAGCAGTACGTAGTAATCCTAATTATAAAAATCGCAGAGTTCCAGTCGTCTTTCATATTAAACGGTACCGAACATATCTCGCAAGTCGACACTTTGAAGTTCTCGGCCCGCGTTTATACAATAAGGTAAACCGACACCTTAATATTTTATCATTAACAACTAATAAATGTAAGTCTGCTATTAAAACTTGGCTAAAGGGACTAAACTACACAGAAACTGAAGATTTACTAAAAGTAATAACTTGATACTGATAAGATGCCATAACCTCAGGATACACACATACTCACACACACACACACACACTCACACATACACACACATACACACACACACACACACACACACACACACCCACACGCGCTCAAACTTACTTTTAAGTTATTATATTGGATTCCTAAAAATAATGTATAACTTAATTTATCATTGTCTTAATATTTTATTATTATTTTTATTATATACTTCTAGGTATGTAACAACTTATCTCCTTAAGCTATAGTCTTAAATTAAATAAGAGGGTCCTGTGGAAGGTTAGACGTGCGCGACACAGGGTATCCTAGTGCGTGCGTCTCAGCACTCCATTGCCAATGTTTTGTTAAACAATAATTGTTGCTAGATTAAGGAGTATATTTGTATACATTTTTGTTACCACGAATTAAATAAATAAATAAATAAATAAATAAATTATAATATCCTGACCCACAAGGCTATGGCGTGAAATGTAATTTGCATACTTGTAATAAGCCTCTTGCATTTATTGAAATAATTTTACTCCTCAGCATAATTGGTGAGTTCGCGTGACCGACTTCACGTTCGAGATATTATATATCTCGTGAATTTATTGCTTCATTATTACGTAAAAGATGATCTGTAAAATAAAAATAAATAATAATTCAATCTAAAACTAGACCATTACTTTTTTTATAATATAATATAACTAGCGAGTAGCGACTCACCCTCGCTCCGCTCGGGTTTCGTCCCTAGTTCATTTTTAACGGTTAGTATAGATTTCTTAGATATGAGATATTCTGCCGCAGTAAAAAGTATCCTATACGTTGACCCAGATAACCAGCTACCGTCATACCAAATTTCATCATCATTTTGTAAGTTTGTGCCGTTGTAGGGGGTAATCTCAGGATCTACTGAACCGATTTAAATGAAATTTAGTAAGAAGATAGTTTGAGACCCTGGGAAGGACATAGAATACTTTTTATCCCCGAAAAAATCTTTTAAAGGGCTGAATATTAGGATGAACATTTGTATGGGAAATCAACCTAGTAATGACTATTTCAATAAGATTTTCCAAAAAATATTTCATGTACAGATTCGAGTCGAGAATTGTATTATATGTATAGACTAGGCACCTATCAAGATATGCAGTTTAGTGCAACTTGATGTATAACCGGTTGAACAAACATAGAAATAGAATTAAAGCAGTACCTACTAGTAGTGTGACTGTATAAAATAAGTAGTACACTATTTATATTAAATGAACACTGTGCTTCAGCCTTCGCTACATATGTAAATCTTAAGGAACATGGAATTTATGGTAATTCATTTTCTTTTCTGACATAAATAACAGGATCTCAATATCTGCCAAATCGTTTAAAGTGAAAATCACATGGTTCCAACAAAAATGTTTCGACAGATATTTTTGTATTTTAGTACAAATTAGGTAGGTATATAGTTAATAAAGCTATTTTACTATTGATATCTAAATTAACATCATTGTAAATGATGTAGAACAATTTGTATATTAATACTAGTCTGTGTCTTTAGGCGCCTAGCAGTAATCAGATTTTTATTCCAGGCCAAATTTTCATCCAGACATTTCTGGGAGTAACAAACATACATAATAAACCATTTTTACATTTTATCTATTTTTGAAGTTAACAAAATATTTAATATTCGGATTTGGTTTCAGGTTTTTAAGATCTACTGCGTTGGAGTTTGAATTAGACGACGACGTGACATCTAACGGTGTTATTGCTCCAAGGTTCCTTGACGAGATCGCTGACGAAGTTGACATTATTGAGGATAAGAAGGCACCTCCTTTCCGTTAGTATTTTTATATATAAAAATAAAACTGCTTAGAAAATCAACTTTGAAATAAGACAATATTATGTTAATTACTATCAAATTTAACCTAATAAAGCAATGTTTACCGATAACGTTTGCATATCTAATATCTCTTACCATTTTAGATCAAATCGTCTTAATTATTGCTCTTTGCTACAAATTAGAATAGAATTTATACATATATTTTAAAGTTTTAAGCTACTGCTATATTATAAAAATAAAATAATATATCTAATTTTCAGAACAAAAGCTAAAAAATATATTTAATTATTTCACAGGCCGCCATAACCTCAAGAAGCTTATAATTCCCATGTTGCTGATCCTTAAGCTGTTCAAGCTCAAGCTGCTGTTGTTCCTTCCCCTCATACTTGGCCTCGCCAGTTTCAAGAAGTTCCTCGGATTTATGGCTCTTATCGTACCAGGTGAGATTTATTAGAGACACAGTTTTCATATTTAGCTTAGCTAAGTAATATTAATAATATTTATATAATAGGTTAAGTTTATAGGTAATGGGTATTATGGAATATAATGACTATAATCGATGAAACTTTGTCTTTAGATGGCAATACTATTTGGTTTGCCATCTAAAAACAAAGTTAAAATATAATATATTCAGCCCTTTTTAACGTCCCACTGCTTAGCACAGGCCTCCAATTATTAAATACGAGGGAGATCAGGCCATACTCCTCTCTCAGACATGCAGGTTTCCTCACGATGTTTTCTTTCACCGTAAGTCATATTGAAAATGATTAAGACATGAAAATATTCAGATTTTCAAGAACGACTTGAACCCGCTTCACATGATTTTCCAAGCAAGCGCGTTACGATTGGACTTCCACTAATCATTATAATCGAACTAAGAGTTCATCTATTTACCATGGAGGAATTTTGAATACCTTTTAGTAAAACTTTCATTTTTGAACGCACGTAATTCGTTTTAACAATTTCTATATATTAGAGCCACCTAAAAGCATGTTTTTTATGTTGCAGGTGTAATTGGTTACTTCAAATTCTGCAAGCCCAACCTCTCCTCACCGTTCTCGTCCAACCACTACTCAGGCCCGCAGTACTCTCCCGCTGGTATAGGCCTTAGTCCGTACAGAGAAGGACACGGACCAGCACAATATGGTCATTATGAGAACTACGCTGTAAGTAGTTAAAAAACTGTTTTATTTTTCTTTATCCGTTAATTAACTATTTGTAATATTATTAAATTGTTTTTAGATATGGTTTTTCTGGATAAAATAATTTAATTTATTATTATCGTCTGCCTAATCTCAAGTAATTTCATTCATTTGTGCCTATAGAAGGTAATTCAAAACACAAATGCGTTAATAATTTTTGGTCGATAGTGGGAGAAAATAAAATTACTTTTATTGATTATTTATTTTAATCCAAACTTTAAGACACTACGTGTACACCTTTTACCGGCTTCATTATAATTGTTGCCACAACAACAGACTATAAATAATTTTAATATAATTGTTGCCATAACCAAAAATAATATAAGGAAAATAATAGGGAAATCTTAATGTTTTAAAATAGCAAAATTTGTGGGATTGTTTGAGGAACTGAACAAAACGGGAGAATCGTTCTAGCACATACTTAGTAGGTACGGTATAGTGTTCTTCTCGCCCATACTCACTAATGTTATATGTAAATGTGAAAATAACTATCTCTGTCTGTCTGTCTATTACCTTTACATGCTTAATCTGCTTAACCGATTTAGATTAAATTTGGTATGAAGATAGTTTGAGACCTTAGGGATGACATAGGATAGTTTTTATTTCGGAAATCATCCCTTAAGGGAGTGAAAAGGGGGGTGGAAGTTTGTATGGGGAATCAATCATTTCTCTAGTAAGGGATATAAATCTCATTATACCTATATGTATATATAATATATAGTCTATCTATTCCATAAAAATTGTTAAAACGTACCTAGTTACAATATATTTATTAACTTATATAATGCTTGTCAGGGTAACCATTACAACAAATACGGGTCTAACGGCGTTGCATTCCGAGAACACGATGTAAGCCCTCAAGACCTCGCCTACCAAGGATGGGAGTATAGAAGTAAAAATGGCGCTGACATAAAAGCTGAAACTGCTTAAGTAACTTAACAAAACAATATGAAACTTTGATTATTGTTAGGCGAAATAGAATTGTAATTTAATTTATGTTTTTGTAAATAATAATTCTAAGTATAAAGACGGTTACAATTCAGTATTCATAATGCTATGAAATTCGTCTTAAAATAATTTAATATAAGTATTGTTTTTGTTGACCTTTACGTATCTTAAAGCTAAAAAAAACGTGTATAAGCTTTTAACACTTGTACAATATACTTACATACACTTATACAAGCTTGCATAAGTGTTGGTAGCTTTATTTTTTATATTCGACGTCATGACGAATATGTGTAAACTTTATAAGTGAAATGTAAATAGAATCTATTTTATTTAATCATTTTATTCTAAATTGTAACTTTTTTTTAATTTTGTGTAATAATTGTAGGTAGGTACATTTATTTTTTACTGACTGTACATAATGTTTATTTAATAAACGTATGATTGTTATTTGTTTCTTTTTATTTGTTTTTTATGATATTAAAGAAAATCCTCTTCAAAAATGAGCTTTACCTCTTTCTTATCAGATGGTTATCTAAAACGTTTTCACTTAAATTCATATAATACTGATGTTTATTCTTTACCAATTTTATTAAAATAATATAATGTAAAATAATAAATGTAAAAGCAGTCAGATTCGATAATTTTGTTTTGTGTAGAGCCCTTTATAATATATATTTTACTTAGTTAAAACAATTTGAAGGTCTTGGCGTGCACATTTTCATACAATACGAGTATATACATACCTACACTTTCTTCATTAATATACAAAAACTCAAAATACACTTAATTAGTGTCTCAAAATTGTCCTCAAAATAAAGTGCACAATTCAAAATTGAATTGCACTTTTTTCAAATCTCTTTTGTTTACTGCCTTTCGGATATGACAAAATTGAAAACGCATATTCTTTAGTTTAAAAAAGTACTTTATGTGGTGTACGTAAGTTCGAAATTTGTGTAGAGACAATTAGAACTTTCGATTTTTGAATTTTATTCTTTGTCAATTAATGTCATGTCAACGCCACTTTTGAACCGACTTCAAAAAGGAAGAGGTTCTCAATTCGACTGTATTTTTTTTAATGTTTGTTACCTCAGAACTCTGTCATTAATTAACCGATTTGGACAATTTTTGTATTGTTTGAAAGTGTATACTTCCAGATTGGTCCCATTTAAATTTCAAAAAAAATATATCAACCCTAAGGATGGAAAAATAAGTAATGATGAATTTAACCTACTTCTAATTGTCTTATTGACTTGAAACTTTTATTTCCGTTGATAGTACAGTGGTTCGGTATTGTTGACCTGATCTGATGGTAAGGCCAGAAGGTGGATAGGTGGAACTCTTCAACGGCTAATAGTAGATACTTTGAGTTTGGGCTTATTTTGTTTGATTTGACAAGCCTAACACGTTAGAATTCTTACTTGGCTACTACTGTCTACAAGTAAGTTGGCTACTACTGTGTAAAAGTAAAAAATAACTGATTGGTAGTTTTCATTTGCTATACATACCTAATCAAATAATTTCGAAGTCGGTGCCAGTCGATACAAGCATTTTTACTTTTTAGTGCTTTTGTTTGAGGTCGGTTTTTATTTTTTTGTTAAAAATTTTTATTGAAGAGATATTTGTTAGGAAATGTGTTTCTCATATTAAAATGACATTAATATTTTATTTCTTACAATTGAAAAAAATAATAATTTTTAAATTAATAATTAAAGAAACTGGAAAAACTTTTACAATTATTTTTATTTTTTACCAATATTTTCCAACATGAGTCTTAATAACATCGTAATCATCGCCTCTGTGTAGAAACTCCATTTCATCTAAATCTTTAATTATGAATACATCTTTTCTATCTATTTCCCTTTTATTCCTGAAATGTGAAGGTTTTTGCTGTAATTTATGGAATGGCATAGGATATCTTGGTACTTTTGAATTCTTTCTGTACTTTTTCTTATGGTTTTCGGTTGTACTTTCCTCTATGTTGGTATCACTGTCTTGAACTTCAAGTTTTTGTGATGCTACAGTTGGCAGCCTTGTGATGGGGTTTACGTAAATTTTTCTGCTTCTATTCTTGCCTTTTTTTATAATTTTCTGAATAGTTCTTTTAGGTGACTTCTTAATCTTTTTCTTCTTCTTGTGCTCTTCATAGAATTTTGTCGGTACTCTAACCTGATTTTCGTCCTTTTCGTAGAACGTCAAATTTATTGGCGGCTGTAAATTTAATATAAAAATCTATAAAACGTTTAATTTTCATCAAAATCCTTATATTTTTTCCTATAATTGTTTATTTATTTTTTCACGAGTAGTTACTTCCATTTTCTAACATAAAGATAGTTATAACTTTATGTTTGTTTTAATATTCATGGGTACCAGCTCATCTGTTTAGTCGTAAATATAACATACAACTAGTCAACTACACACATATACGATACGTCTATAATACAAAAATATAGTCTATATAGATAAATAAAATTGAAGTGTCTGTAATGTTGAAATAACAGGTTTTTACTAAATGCATATGAAACTATATACGGTACTTATAAGAAAAACACAATTTATAAAAAAAGTCTGTCTGTCTGCTAAATGCACATTACGAAATTATATAGGGTACCTACCTAGTTATAAGTAAAACACAATTTTAACACCAATACACAAGAAACAAACTGACGCACAGACGGACAGAAAAATGTTAAAAATCGAGTTTTTTTATAAGTAATATAATTTCATATGCATTTAGTAAAAAGCTGTTATTTTGGCATTGCAAACAGACACTTCAATTTTATTTATCTGTTAAATGTATAGATTATATTATGTGATATAATATAATAAGTAAATTTGGACATATCCTACCCCCGACAATTTATTTCATCCATTAAAACCCACCTTGACAAAAGCCGATTCATATCTTACCTTTTGTGCTCGTACTAAGTATGTCTTGATAAATATGCGAAATACAGTAGGTACAGATTAAAGATAGCGAAAGCGATCATATTTGCTTCTCAAACATACAGTAGAAATTCTAAATTCTAAGCTAATTACGTCAGAATAGTTTGAATCGCTCAGATTTTTGCGATTATAATTTCAAAATATGTAAGTTCTAGCGACTCATCTTCCCTTTACTTCGGTTTCGTCACTAGTTTAAAACATTAACATATCTATCCCAAGGGAACCGTACATTTTTCCAGGATAAAAAGTAACCTATTTGCTATTCCAGACTATAATCTATCTCTGTATCTTTCATCCGGATCCGTTAATACGTTCTGGTGTAAAAGAGTAACAAACACCCATCCATCCGTTCTCTCAAACTTTCATATTTATAATTTTAGTATAGATTATATAACATAATTATTTTTTTACCGACATCATCAAAGGTGTATTTATTTTCATCTTATGTCTATACATATGTTATTATTATCATATTATTATTATTAGTAAAATAGATATGGTGAATAAAAAATCCAAGAAATATATGAAAATGACATATTCTGACCACGTGACTTAACGCTTAAAAATGTAATTTCAATATTTTTTGTTTTTCTATTGACGATAAGTAAAAAATGTAAAATTTCATAAAATATTAAGCAGTAACTAACAGGATTACTGTGCAAAGCTGCATAAAACCCTAGAGCCCCTTCATTTTTTTTTATATTCTTCCCTGCATGAGTGTACGAGGATATATCCTGAAAGCAAAGTTTGAGTTGAAAACAGTACAATTATCTTTATCTCTATAACAATTTATAATTTGAAAATATAAAAAGCCACTACAAATATAATTGTCTTACACATTTTTGTGTATTTCTCTACTTATACTAATTTCTCTGTACATTAGGGACAGAGAGAGAGAATATATTGTCCTTCATACTTAAACTCAAAATATGAGACTCCTATAAGAATTTTTGTCAATCTATACTTAATATTATAATGAGGTAAAGTTTGTGAGTTTGTGACGTAGTAGGGGGTAATCTCTGGATCTACTGAACCGATTTAGATGAAATTTGGTAAGAAGATAGTTTGAGGCCTTGGGAAGGACATAGGATACTGTTTATTCCGAAAATCATCCCTTAAGAGGGTGAAAATGGGGATGAAAATTTGTATGGGAAATCAACCTAGGTGAAACGAGGGTAAGCTATACAAATTTCGATGAAATTTCAGGTTGAATGAAGAAGTTTAAAACTATTAATTAAATTTAACGCAATACTAAATAAAACCTGCGATATTTTCCCAAAAAACAATTCACAACACTTTGTCCACTGAGCCATAATGCCCTCATCTGGTGATGATCAATTATTAATTTAGTAGTACAATGCTAGAATTTTGGAAGAACGCACTAATTGGACTGTTCCCAACTGCCTACCTTCTGAAGGGCAAAATTAATGATGGAAGTCAACTATTTTCAAATAACGGGATTGTTTTCGCATGGCATAATTTTCATGTTTTATCCTTAAATGCGTACCTCGAATAAGCGATAAGCTCAGTTGTTTATTTAATAATCTTATTCTATTTTCAGTGTAATTTATTTACTGTTTAGTATTTTTATAGGTATTATCTATACATATAATAAAATTGTAACTAAGTCGAATCTGTACATTAAATATTTTTTGGAAAATCTAATTGAAATAGACATTATTATCGATACAAAGACCGAATCTATAGTTTTTAGAATTTTTGTCTGTCTGTCTGTTACCGCATCACGAGAAAACCACTGGACAGATTTTGATGAAATTTGGTATGATGATAGCTGGTTATCCGGGTCATCAAAAAGGATACTTTTTACCACGGGAAAATATCTCATTTCTGAGAAAATATACAAAAACTGCATTGTAAGAGTATACTAATATGTAAAACCTAAGAATTTGGTTTTTGGTCATCTGAACGCTGGCGGAGCCGCGGGCAATGCTAGTTTCAAAATAAAATTATTTAAAACTGATTCCACAAAACGAGGAGGTATTCAAATCGTCTTTATTTTATGTACATATATATGTATATTTTAACCGTTAACATCATCGCTTACAAACCCATTATAATGATATGTAGGAATCATTGACCAGTTTTAAAATATAATACTATGCAATACTTCGGCAATAGTTATATCCATGGTTCTTTTTTTAAGGAATTTAAAGTAAATTTTAGATTTCGATGTACCATTTTTATTAAGCACAAATTTGATGCCAGCGGTAGCGGGTTCGAGTCCCGCTGGGGTCATTCATTTGTGTGATGAGCACAAATGCTTGTACACCAGTCATGGGTGCTTATATTAACAATATGTATGTATGTACGTAAAGTCATATACGTGTAGTGTATCAACTATCCGCTATCCATAACACAAGCCTCCAAGCTTACCACGAACTAGATGGTGCTGTGTGTTAATGTCCCAACATATTTATTTAAAGTACTAATAACTTTTTCAATAGGTCTAAATTCATATGTAAAAAACTGTCATCTAATCTATATTTTAATTAAAAACAAAGAGAATATCTTACCTGATTATTAGTTGAATCAGCATTCACAGCATTACCCACCAAAATATAAAATACGCATATTAGAAGAAACATTACGACCTAAAGTCCGAAGTTAAAATCAAGTCATTACGAAAAGAATGTGACCTAAGCTAAAGAAAAAGTTTATAAACTGTAACTCAAACACCATTGTTTTGAGCTATGTTAGTCAAATATTGTTAGGGGCACTGTGAGCTAGTTTTCTTTTTAAGCAATTTTGTACTGATTATGAAGTAAGGCTTCATTATTTATAAGTTGCCTTGATTTATTATGATAATATGATATTTATTTAATGGCAGTATGGCGTTTCAAAACCCTACGACCCTTTAGTTATCACTTTGATAATGAGTCTCATAAAGTATAATTTTAAATAGTAAAAGCTATAATTTATTCTACACAATACATATGTTTATCGATTTTTAATCCATGTACTCTTAAAAAAACTTTCTAATACCAAGCCGTACACAGGGTTTCAAACTTATTTTAGATAATCTCCTAGATAAATACAAAAAACTTCCCAGAAAAACGAGACTCATATCTTTGAATCGCGGTACTTTAATATATGTATAAAACTTGCCATTATTTCTAATCTGATTACGCCATATTATTCTATGTACATATATCCTAATGTTTATATCAAATACCAGAAATATAAAAAAAATTATCTTCAAAAAGACACTTAAATCGATTAAAACACGGACAATTTGCTCTAAGCTAGAACACAACAAACATATTTATAGTAAATTAACATAAAAGGTAAGTAACTATTAACATAAAAGGCTGTGCTAGAAAAATAGTTTTCAACAGCCATCTATGGAATCTATACAGATAAATAAAATTAATGTGTCTGGTTGTAATGTCAAAATAACAGCTTTTTACTAATTGCATATGAAATTATATACATCACTAACACGAAAGTTTAATGTAAGGAAAATTGTCTGTCTGTCTGTTTGTTCCGGCTAATCTCCGAAATGGCTGGTGTTAGAAGGAATCACTTGGGCTACTTTTATTATTTTTTTTAATTAAGAATCCGCTCAAAACGTACTTGAGACGCACGTAAGTCACTACCAATTAATAAATGCAAATGAAACCTAAACAATATGCAAATAATCCAAACTAAATTGTATACTAAGCCCTCGAAAGCTTTCAATTCACCTAACCCTAGCATGTCAAAATATTTACTTTAAACCTAACTGAAACGCAATAGCAGATCAAGTGGCACAGTGAATAAATAACTAGAATTACTTTTATTTTCTTAATGTAAATTAAACAATTTATATTATTTATGTAAATTATATTCTTCTTTATTCACCGGCAAAGCCAGTACTACCCACTAAAACCCAACAAAACCTTCCCCCGTCTTAATGGGGCGTCGCAGGATCGCTTACGCATTCAACTACGGCAGGTCTGCCGAGGCAGACCAAAACAACCATGGGGTTGCTCCAAGGTCCACTCTGCTATCAGAGAAGTACCAGGAGCAACCCGCATGGTACACCGCCCTCCGAAGAGGACCACCTCCCACCACCCACCGAAGTGGGCCACCTCCCTGTGCGTTTCTTGGCTTCGCGCCCGGCTGTATTGCCGAGCACTACTGAGCCCCCCCACCACAACAAGATGAACGCACGTTGGGGGGGTTCTTTAATAAACCTGTACTATAATACCTCAAGTATCCCATATAAATTTTAAGAAAAAAAAATCTACCTCTAATAGTTACCTTTAATAGATAAATTTACAATTGGTGGTGTAAAATATATTATATATAAAATAATAACATGGAATAGTACACGGACCTCCTCGTAAGAGGATCAAAAAGTTACTATTGTAGCAACGATGATTCTTACAGTAATGTATTGAAATCAAAATAGTACCTACAACTGTTCTTTAACAAAAGGAAGCTTCACTTAATCTAAAGGTCTTTTTAATACCACCAATTCAATCAACTTCAACACCATTGTTTGTAAAATTTCATTTTAGGCTATAAAGCAATTCTTATTTTTAGCCTAGTCATACTGAAATTTAATTTAAACGTGTCTTTTTGATAATTTATTTAGCACTCAGTGATAGCTATATTATATAAAAATTGTCGTTTATGTGTCAAGCATTCTATGTGAAGTTTAATAAAATGGAAAGAAAATGAAGCCAATGTATTTAATTAAGGTAATTGTTGTTTTAAATAAATTGTACTTATGTATTCAAATTTATATATGTTATTTTAAATTAACTTGAGTTTTACTAACAAATGGGGATCATTTTATCTAAACTACTCGCAAATCTCCAGAACGACTAAATAGATTTTAGCAGAGCTTACATTGGCAGATAAAGAGGTTGACTATGAGTGATGATAACTTTTTTAAATGACTTAATCTTCCAGCAAAATGAATTGAATGAAAATTGTAAAATCTAAAAAATAAGTCTGACTACCGAAAGGGACGTATCAAAACGAATCAAATGAGCCACAATTTATCAGATTTCTTTTCTTCTGATTCCACTGTCAGATCAGCTTGATCATATGAAATTATTATATTTTTCTATAATGTTATATTATTTCAGATTAAGGGAGTGTTAATGTTAATGGTTCTACATATAAAAGGTTCGAAAGTAATCGACGAACATGACCAAAAAGGACTATATGTAGAAGATTACTGCCCCAGCATAGGGGTATGTGAAGAAGGTTCACACATTATGTGCACACATTATAACCCAGTAAGTCCATAAAAATTTTATTCCCGAAATTTTTTTTCTTCGGGATAGAGGTTAACATTTTTATATGCTTTTTTAACCCCCGACGCAAAAAGAGGGATGTTATAAATTTGACGTCGATGTCTGTCTGTGTTTGTGTGTGTGTCTGTCTGTGGCATCGTAGCTCTCAAACGGAAGGACCGAATTCGATGCATTTTTTTTCATTTGAAAGCCAGTTTCCTTGCGGTGGTTCTAAGCTATGTTTGGTTAATATCGGTCCAACAGTGTAAGAGTATCAGTTCTTTTCTAAAATGATATAAGGCATTTTGGCGTATGATTACTCGATTAAGTGCTTCACGTGTGCCAGTGTAAACGTTAAATGACACTTAATTTCCTTAGAGGGGTTTTTAAATTTTTAATTTATAATTATGCAAGATATAGACCAATCGAAATCCGGTTTGGAAACAAAATATTGAAAACCTGAAGTTTTATGAATTTAAAATGTTAGCTATAAAAAATAGAAATTCGTAAAATGCCCCACATGCCCAGCTATCCCCGAGACATAAGGGACGCAAAGCGTTGAAAAAAGTTTTTTCAATTTTCGGCTTACTGTGACGTTCTATCAAAAAATATTTTGTACAAAAGTTGTAGGTCTTGTAAAAATCTACAATTTTTATAAATAACACTTTTTACAATAACATCAAAGTTTTGGAGATATTTCCAAAAAACTCAGTTTTTCATTTTTTCTTGGTTTTTTCTTTTGATTTTCATGAAAGTGGGTCTTAGTTTTTGGTACTTCTATGTCTACACTAAAAAGTGAAAAATAAAAACTTTTTAATAAAAAAAAACCGACCGAACTAAAATAAATAACTGATTGGTATTAATTTACTAAAGATACCTAAAGATAGACAAAGCATACCGACTTCGAAAATATCTGACTAGTTAACTTATATTAAGTTATTTAAAACCATATTTAAAAAAAATGCATAAATTGTTTAATTGGTTGATATTCTACCTACTTTTAGAAACGAGAAATGGGGACAGTTTGTTTCGGCACTAGAAATGTAACTATGACCAAAGAATATGCGGATATAATATTACTCTCAATAAATGGGTAAGTAATTCGTTTTCCGTTCACTACACTATTTTGTCCTATCTAGATTAAGTTAATAACATCAGAATACATTGCTTCCATTTGAACTAAAATTGATCTAAAGAACTTCTATAATATCTACTCGTCTATTTGTCACATTGTGTCAAGACTTGACCACTGAGCAATATGTTAATTTAAAATAGTGACATCAGCAGAGATTGAACTGTAAAACACTTACACGCACACGAAACTACATAATAAAAAGCGCTGGACACCATACTAAATAGGAACCATACAAGTAGTTTAATGTGTCAATATCTTAGCAAAAGCATAAGGTTCCACTTGCCATAATATTGCAGAAATACCAATTTAGGGAATGAATCTTTCAAAACGATTCATTGAAGGTTAATTAAATAATATTTTAAAACAAAGAGATAATAAGTAATTTTATAACCTATTGTATAAATAATAAGTTTGTAGAAAATATGGTTACCAACGTGTTTATCGTTTCTATCGAAGTTGTATTTCTATCGAAGTTACATAGGTGTTTCAATATCAGTCGGGGTCTCGTGGTTGATTGCGTAAGCGCTCCTGTGACGCCCCATTATGACGGGGGTGGTTTTAGTGGGTAGTACGGGCGTACTAGCCAGTAAGTCCCACATAACCACCTGTATGTATACGAGTGGTATGCGTAAATGCTTTTCCCAAAATAAAGAAGAAGATGTGGCAATAGCAAACGCGAACATGAACGAACCAAGTTTAAATAAATCTTGTAAAAGAGAAATAAGAATAACGGTATTGTTTATTTTCAGAATAAGAAGCAGAATAGCTAGAGGAATTCCTCTTGGGGATAGTTACTTTCCTCGCGGCTATGGAATATTTAGATTGGTAATAATTATAATTCATTTCTTTTTCAAATCACAATAATCATAAGGTCAAATTAGAAATTCATGTCAAGAATCCTTTAAAAAATATGGATCCACCATCGCTTCCTACAGACCTTAACTGTACATGCGAACAAATCATGAGTAGTTATGATTTAGGTATTAAAAAGTGGCACCAAAAGACATAAAAAAAGATATGAAATTTCTAAAATTTACATGGTACTATCTTCGATTTATTTCTTAATAGCAGAACCCGCGGCTTCGAATGCTAAAACACGTATTTATTTAATTATATTGAAGAGCATTAATACCAAGTTTCAAGTAATTCTGATCAGAAATAACTTTTTGGGTTGTATTAGGTATAACGTGTTTTCCGTGTAAATGAGATAATCTAACGCGATAAAAATTAACTTCTGTCACTCTCCAGTCATCCAACTATCTCCACACAAGAAATACGCCAATCCGTCACTCCGTTTTGACGTGATAGAAAAAAAAACATTCACAAACAAACACACTTTCACATTTATAATATTAGTATGGATTATTATTTTTCAAAAAAAATCATTTTAATCGGTAACCAATAGACCAAAATATTGCATGACGTAGAAAATAAATGTATATCCCAAGTAAGAATCTCCACTTTTATTTCTTGCATATAAATAACCAGTGTTTTTGCATATTATTGATTGAGATTTGATTATGTACCAAGTATAATTTTATTACAATTAATTTACTCACTATAGCCATGAGTAGTAATAAACGAAAAAACCTTATTTTGCATTTATAATCCATACTTACTATTTAATTTATAAATGTGAAAGTAACTCTGACTGATACCTTTTCCCCGCTTAAACCGCTGAACAGAGTTCGATAAAATTTTGCAAGAACGTAAATGGTATCATTGGGGCGGACATAGACTACCTTTGATTTCCGACCCCCTTACCACGCGAGCGAAGCCGTGGGCAAAAAGTAGTATAAGATATAAGAAGAATATCACGATCGTCATATGACGTAATCATTTAAAGTCCTACTAAAACAATAGAATCTAAGATTGAATATTGTGTCTGTTTTGTTTAAAATTAAAATAATAAAACATATTTTTTCCAGCAATGGGATCCAGAATTAGCTACGTTAGCTAAATTATGGGCTAACCAGTGTATTTATGGTCAAGATAGATGTCGAGCAACAAGTAGGTAAATTAATTTGCTATTGATATGTAATAAAGGCAATAAGGCAGTGGTAGCCCAGTGGTTACGCGCTTGCTTGTGAAACCGAGCGAAGCGGGTTCAAATCCCGGGTCTCGCACCTCTGATATTTTCATGTGCGAATCATTTCTAGCATGATTACAACTTGCCTTACGGTGAAGGAAAACATCGTGAGGAAACCTGCATGTTTGAGAAAACCTATCAAGTTTTCAAAAGATATGTGAAGTCCACCAACCCACCCTTGGCCAGCGTGGTGAACTATAGCTTGATTCCCCTCATATTGTAGGGAGGCCCGTGCCCAGCACTAGGACATTAAAAAGGGCTGAATATAATATAATAAAGTGCATTCCAAAATGGACACTAGAACTTTAAAATATACAGCAAGTTATATATGTGATATCATTGCAAGTTATAATGCTGTAACTTATTATACATAACAGTTCCTCGAAAATCGAGAGCTCTATGGCTCTTTGTTTAAAATATGTTACATATTTTACTCTTAATGAGAGAGCAAGTTAATATTAACTACTACAACCCACACAATACTCGTAGTACAGACGTCATTATAACTCAATTCTTTATCGTAAAAAGGCAATGTAAATTTTAAAACTTTAAACTTTATTATAAAGGCATTCAATTTATTTCCTCCTCCTCCATTCTTCAAATCAAATACAATTCAAATCTAGGATATTCTAGGATATAGATAGATATGGTAAATTGTGCCCAAAGGCACTCCCCGAAGCCACAAACCTAAAGAATTGAATAGATAGATATGTACGTCATTCTTCCATAGGCAAAGTCATTGGGAAAATAATGTTTATGCAATAATAGTACATAGAGTTAATAGCCTTTATTCATATGTAATACATAAAATATAAGCCTTTGCTTTAACATAATATGAATAATGCCAGAAAACTTTTATCTAGAAAGATTCTAAAAATATCTAACTAGCTATTCAATGGACAATACTATATCCCTCATAAAATATGCTAATTTCAGAAAAATATCCAGATCCAGGCCAAGAATGTAGTCTAACTCGATTTACTATACCAGATTGGACACCGATAGTTAGAAGGAATCGATTTAACTACACTGGATTCAGTTTGGAAAAAGTTAAATACGGTATTATATCAGCATTAGAAGGATTTTATCGAACGAAAAATCGCGTTAATATAGAAAAATCAATGAATAAAGATGGTAGATGGTAAGCATTGTAAAGTAGAGTATCTAAATTACTAAAAAATATAAACAGACGGAAATTTACTCATGGAAAGTTTAAAAAATGATTTAATTAAGTGGTTCCTATTGTAAAATTAAAAGCAAAGACTGAATTAATTTTACAATATTAACATATACATATATTATATAGTATAGTATGTAATATATTGTATAGTGTAAATGTACATAACATTTTAATATTATCTTGTCTTACAGGGCCGGTTATATTAACCCAATTATACAACTAATTCAAGGTTCGTCGACACATGTTGGCTGTGGTCTATCTATATACCAAGATTTTGTTTATGCTGAGTCTGATCAACTAATTCTTAATGTAATGTGAGCTTATACTCTTAAACTCAAATTCTCTAACTACATTTCACCTTGTAATGTAGACAGAAACACTTGTGGCATCACTTCACTCTCGTTTCACCGCTTATATGGAAACAATACAAGATGGATGATTTCCAACGTCACGCTTTATAATCTGATCTAAAAATATTAATTCTGGACAGTTTTACCAACACTCTAGAACAATTGTTATCATCCTCTTGCAAATACTAGATAACGCACAATGTATGGAAAAAATGTTGTCTAAACAAAGAAAACCTAAACGCTCCGCGAAACCAAAAACACCGACGGCACATCATTAACTTTTTAATTCCGAGATTCTTTCTAGAATGTTTCACTTTACATCACCATCCTTCAACTCGATAAAGTCTTAAAATCGGTAATCAGAAATCCAACGCATTATCAATTCATATCATTTTAAATTCTTTGTATCACTAAAACGGTTAAGCATTGGTCTAAATACTTGCCATTCTAGTGCTGAACCTAAAATTATAATTTTTTAGATCGTACGACTATGCTGCAACTTTTCAAATCGCGTTCGTGAGGGTGACGTCGTATACACTATGGATCCTCCAACAAAAGTGGGTTACACTGTTAAATGCGGCTGTCCTCCTGGCTATGATGAGGATGATGGATGCTTATGCTATGAAAGTGGAAGAGGAATTCGTACGTTTCTGTATTTACGGTTTTATAAAATAAATATATATATTTATGTACCACGGACTTATCTCCCGTGCTTCGCTCTGTGAAACTGAGTGCTATGTACCTTATATTTGTATTCATAATACCATATACATGTTTTTCTTTCTTCTTCTTAATATTTTTGGCAATTTTAGCGGCCTTCTTTAGCATTTTCACTGATAGCGTTTACTTAAGTAATTGAAACCTTATGTCACATAAGCACTTAACAAACTTGAGAACTCTAAGTGTTTGAAGTGCTCAACACCTAGAGGCTTTAATTAAAACTTTTAGATAGTGTCTTGATATACGATGCTACCCAAAGTTAACGATGGTATTTATTTATGCTTATTAATAAAAATAAATATAAAATTTAAGAAAAATTATACAAAAATATTTTTTTATTCACGTACACTTGCGAATTTTATTACGTAGCATTTAGAATTTGTTTGGATAATAATTTAATTGATAATCTAAAATTAATACATATCTATTACTCGAATAGCTTATGCCATGGTAGGTTCTCATCGTAGGTTCAATGCTCGCTTCAGCAAAATACAACATGGTATACTCACTAGAGAAAAAACGGCAACTTGCGAATCAGCATCACTAGTGACTCACCCTCGATTCGCTGAGGTTGGCCCTAGGTAGGTTTTAACGTTTAGTTTAGTATAGAATAGATATAATATACATTATTATATATACATAGGTATACAATAGTAGTTAAGTACTTTAAAACAGAAAAAATGTTTCACGAAATGTATAGGTACCTATATTTTATCTTTTTACTTAGTCATGATATACATAATATAAGTGAGCAAACTGTGGTCTTCTATAAATTAAGAAGCACAAATACTGTAATACATAATTAACTTTTATGTTTATAAATATAAAGTGTGTATCTTTTTTTAAAGATCCTTAACAAAACTAAAATAAAAATATTGCTTATTTTTAATCAGCCTACTCCTGCAAATATGGACGTTGTGCACCAAATGTTGTACTTCTACCGATTTTCACAGTAGAAAATGCACCACCAAAAAATTATAGGTATAATAATTTAATAAATACCCTATCTATTAATTTAATAGATATAAATAAATATAATAGAATTTTATATGATAAGTTAATAATTTTGTTACTATTATATATCTTTATTATTTTTAGTAATTTGCCATCGACGCACGATTTAAAGGGTCTTCAGGACTTTCCACTTTCTATGGGCACACAATCTAGAGTAAGTTATCCTAGAGTATGTTAAAAAATGTACGAAAATATGAATATCGTAGAAAAGAAAATTAAATTAAACTTTTTGTAGAAATATCGCACAAACTGCAAGAGCATATTTACAAAAACTCCTATATTTGAATTACCTACAAGAAAAACTAATCACAACATCAGTGTTTCTTCTATAATGATGAGAAATGTACAGCCCAGAAAATACTTTACACGTTTAAGAGATGTTATGTCTAGTTATTTAAATAAGCGAAAAAATAATTTAGAAGATCTACATTATAACAATAAGGATTTGCATAACTCTATCAATAACTCATATAGGTATAACAGAAACCAAGTGCACAGTGGCTTTTCTAGATATCATGATAACATTTCCAAACCTGTACAGCACCCAATGAAAAGTTCCAAAATAATTGAAGCGTTTGATACAAAATTAATAAGTTTACTAAATCAATTAGAGGAAGAGGCAAAAACTATTAAACTCGGTAATAAAGAGAAGGATATTTTAGATAAGAAGATTAAGAAAATATACAGTAAGTTTGCTGATAAATTACGCTCATCCAGAAATAGGGATGTAAGTCCAAATAATGAAGCTAATAGATTAAATGACTATGAAGACCAATTTAACAGACTACAATATTCTGAAGTCAATTATGTTACTGAGAATATTATTCCATTAAATAATAAAATTAATGTACGAAAAATGCTATATATAAACAATAAAAATAAAAATATAAAATCTGACATTTTGAATAATTTTAATGTAAATGAACGTGAAGATATAAGTTTTAATAGTAGAAATTATTATCAAAATGATGATGGTAAACTAAAAAGAAAACAATATATATTTGGAGGATACATAAGTAAGGAATATGTAAGTAAAACTAAATTAATGAAAAACTTAAGCATCGAGTTCAATAAAAATAAATACAAGTACCTAATAATAGTTGTACTATTTTGTAATACAAACAATTTAGTTTAATAAAAATCTTATTATTATAGCCAATTTGATATTGTCTCGACAAATCTGACAAAATGAAAATGAGACGACAAATCATAGAGAATGCCAAAACAAATGTTTGGACAAACTACTGGCGACTCATCCTCCTCCGGTTGGGTTCGTCCCTAATTACATTTTAACGTTGCTGCTTCTTATATTACCAGGGTGATTGAAATTCGCTAGGCGTATTTTTTTGTCTTAATTTTGATAAGTTATCAAAAATTTTCCAGATAAACTTAAAAACGCACGTCTGCATCTAAATATGCACAAAATTTCATTCAAATCGTTAGAGCTGTTTCCAAAATAAACAAAACAAAACATATATACAAGAACTACTCATTTAAGGTATAAGATCTTGAAATTAGTATCTTTTAAATATGTGACATATACCTTTCTTAGCTTTATACATCAACTTTGCGACTGAAACCTTCGGGAAAAGCTAGTCTATACATATAATAAAATTGTAACTAAGATGAATCTGTACATTAAATATTTTTTGGAAAATCTTATTGAAATAGACATTATTATCGATACAGAGACCGAATCTATAGTATTCAGAATTTTTGACTGACTGTCTGTCTGCCTGTTACCGCATAACGCAAAAACCACTGGAGGGGTTTTGATGAAATTTGGTATGATGATAGCTGGTTATCCCGGTCAACATATACTCGTACTTTTTACCGCGGGAAAATATCTCATTTCTAAGAAATCTATACTAAAAGTTAAAACGTACGTAGGGACGAACCCGAGCGGAGCGATTGTGAGTCGCTAGTTATTTATAAAAAAATATTTAATTGTACATTTTAAAACTATCCTTGTTATTACAGAATGCTGACTACGAACTGAACTCGACGCTTCCATCATATAGACAGTCAATGTGGATTCATAGCCTACCTAGGAAACTAGAATACCCTTGAATTATTTGAATATTATTTTATATTAAATTAACATTTTGTATTTGATTTTTGTAAATAAATAAACCCTTTAAAACAAATTTTGAATATTTTTATTTAAAAACATTCATTTTCTTACGCATGTACTTGCTTTAATATTAAAAAAAATATTATAAGCTTATTATACAACTCTTTCGAGTTATTAATCAGTGGCGAAACTACAGGCCTAAGATCTCTAGGAGAAGATTAAATTTCAGATTTCAGATTGCCGGTTCAGAGTAAAGCGCCAGAGCTAAGAAATGCTTAATTTCACATTACTCTATAAAAATACGGAAAAGAGCAAGCTCAATGTAAAGTTGAGAATATCTACTTCTTATACTTAATGAATGTCCAGTATTCAGCCCAACACTTGTCTAGACGGCGGACGGCATAATGTCGTAGGTTTAAAAAAAAATAAAAAAAGTTTTTTTCATGTCACAATTTTCCGTCGTGGGTTTTTTTTCATTTTTAATTTATGTTTAATTTGTAGCTTTTTAAAATTATAATAGTTAATTCTGTACATTTATTTAAATATAAAACTGCCTTGTTCCTGAACAGTAAAAAAACGTGTGAGTGTACTTATGTACGCACGTAAGAAGTTATACTTCTTTGGCGTAACAGAATAAAAATAGCTAAAGATTTCATCTCGTATGTCACAACTCTCTGTTTGTAAAAGGAATGCAGCTAACTTCACCATGGCGCTTTTTGACTGTGGGTGTCCGCGCGCATCGTAAAAATTTTACTCTCAAAATTTTTCCAAACATGCCAAAAGAAGTATAACTTCAAATATAGCCGTTTTGTAGGAACATTTATATACTAGTGCGCCCCCCGGTGGTCTGTAACATTATAAAACTTCTATACTAAGCTAAAAATATGCTCAAGAATGAGACGAGAACGAGACAAGTAAATCGGCCTAGACGTTTCCGATAAAAATGGTAACAAACACACACACACACACAAACACCTCTTATTCCAAACACATATACCGTCTCCGTGGCCGTCGCGGGTAAAAAGTGACTTTTCGGCCCTTTAACATTTAATGCCTAAAAAGACGCATACACGAGATTATATGAGACTTTTGACAAAGCCATCCTGCGACGCCCCATTAAGACGGGGGAGGTTTAGTTGGGTTTTAGTGGGTAGTACTGGCTTTTCTAGCAGGTGAGTCCCACATAACCACCTGTATGTCTACAGGTGTTATGCGTAATTGCATTTCCCAGCACCAAAAAAAGAATATTTTAGGTCAAACGAGATATATGTATATATATGGCAGGACAACATCTACCTACAAGATCCACAATATACACAATATGTAGATACGATATACATAGATAAAATATAATTGTAATCATATTCGGTCAAAATCCTGGTTGAAAACGTGTTACAAATCTTTTGTACAGATCTAACAATGTATCAAATAAAAACTGTACATAAACTACAAATGTACTAACGAAAGCTGTAAAATATTTTTGCCTCACTTTTACGACTTCATATCCATTATTAGACGATGTTTAGAAAACAAAGAAGTGTTGTAGGAGTTATTTAGGTTTTTGTAAACGATCATGCGGTTTCTTATATGTGGCCTCATTCTGATTCTGCAAAATATATTTATTTATGATTATGAAGTAAGTATTTTATTAATTTATACATATAGTAAAATTGTAACTAAGCCGAATCTGAACATTAAATATTTTTTGGAAAATCTTATTGAAATAGACCTTATTATCGATACAGAAGCCAAATCTATAGTTTTTAGATATTTTGTCAATCTGTCTGTCTGTTACCGCATCACGGAAAAACCACTGAAGGGATTTTCATGAAATTTGGTATGGTGATAGCTGGTTATCCGGGTCAGCATATAGGATACTTTTTACCGCGGGAAAATATCTTATTTCTGAGAAAAAATACAAAAACTGCATTGTAAGAGTTTACTAATATGTAAAACCTAAGAATTTAGCTTTTGGTCATCTGAACGCGGGTGGAGCCGCGGTCAATGCTAGTGTACTACTATTCTTGTATCTCCCTTATTAATTCAGGTATTACCGGATTCATTTCTTTAAATACTTACTACTTTCAAATAAATGTTATTCCTTAGAAATCAGTCTATTCCTAAACACAATGTAGATAAAGTATAATTTCTTTTATCTTTATAATATATTTATACTAAAAATCACATTTATATAAAAGTCTATTACGCATTTTAAACTCACTTTCTACATAAATTACATGAAACGATATAGACTATCTAATCTATATGGTTTCAGCCATAAACTAAACAGACTTATTAATCATTTTTGCTATAACAATATTAAGCAAATGTTTTTTATAATTTTCAGGTGGAAGCCAGAAATGGTAACATTATTCCATTGGAATCGTTATTTGATAGCGTTGAAAGAAGACATCTTAAGGTATTTTTTCCTACTATTAATAAATTTTTAGAATTTCCATACTATATCATATTAAAATATTCCTTACAATCTTGTACAAAATCATTTTGGGAAGCATTATGTCATTGGCTGGGTGTTTCTATTGTACTATCTACTTTTTATTATTTACTAAAGAGCATCCCGTGTGACGTCATCATAAGTACCAGGTGTTATGGAATATATGTTGTAAGAAATTGGGGTGCACTCTGTGCAGGTTTTTCTTTAACGAGTTTCAACGTGTACAATGTACGTTGCTTGATGCTTATGATAGGTACTCTAGTACTCGTGACAATTTTTATGACCTAATTTTCGAACCAAAGGCATACAGTGGTAGGAACATTTTTTATAATGATGATGGACAAGTCATGGTCAATATCTAGTATAGTAAAAAAGATAACTAATAAATTTTAAATATTTTATTGCAGAATGCTCAAGTAAAATATGAACTAACTGGCAGTTATGAAAATGGAAAAACTGAATATCCCAAGTTTAAAAGAAGAAACACAAAGAAAAAGCACAAAGCAATAAAACACAAAAACTTAATTCACCAAGATTCAAACACAAACCAAGAACATAAGAAGAATAAAAAGAGAAAGAAAGCTATTGGAAATAAGAGATTTGTTAAAACAACTTTAAAAGACGCGGATTCCAAAATGTCTAGTTCAAATGAAATTGAACAGAAAAGAAAACCTGTGGATATTATTGTGCATATTAAAATGAATGATTAACATAATATGTGAGACATATTTTATTTAAAGTAGCGATCTCCATTCCTTCGGTTTTTTACAATCCTCAATGTAATAAAATTACCTTTAAACTATTGCATGTTACAGTTTTAAGATTTATAATATAGTTTAAATCCATACAAATAATATAAATGAGAAAGTAACTCTGTTTGTTACTTTTCACGACTAAATGGCTGAACTGATATAGATGAAAGTTGGTATGGAGACAGTATGAAATCCTTGGAAAGACATTGGCTAGTTTTAACCCCGGAAATCATCCCTTAAGGGAGTGAAAAAGGGGGTGGAAGTATGTGTAACATTTATCAAGTAAGGGATATAAAAATCATCATACATATATATATATATATATATATATATATATATATATATATATATATATATATATCATATATATCATATATATATATATATATATATATATATATATATATATATATATATATATGTTGGTAGATGTATATACACTACACTTTTATTTAATTTTTTTTTTTTTCATAAGTAGTTTTTGTTTAAAATTTTACAATTTTTACATAAATTATGTTACTTATGTAATACTTATATACCTACTTGTACTCGTGTAAGAGTTGCTTTAGGACACCAGTAATTTAAAGCTACTACTAACTATAGGTTTGTAACTATATATATTTTAAATAGCTCTAAAATACGTTTTAATATAAATTTAGTCTATTTTATTATTTACTTATAATATCTTAGAATAAACTCAAATTGTTATATATAGATGCACATTGAAAAATCAATCTCAATATAAATTGCAATGATGAAGCAATTAAAACTTGACCTCCACACCTTGAGTACAGAGAGAGTGAGTATAAGATATTTTTTTAAATCGACTATTCATATGGTAAAATTCCTGTATTATTTACAAGTAGGTCAAATATTTAAAAGTACACATAAACATTTTGGTTTAGTTATACATATAGTTTAAAATAAAAAAGGGTGGCAAAAAAACAAGGCGAAGTTAGAACGAGTCACTAGTCTAGGTATATATTTTACAAAGAAAACAAAGTTATTCAATTCAAAGTTATTTGTATTACCAAGTGTATATAAACATACACACATTACGCTTCAATATTTCTATTTGAAAAATTGGAAAACTTGTGTCTACGTGATTTAGTTAGTTTTCGCGTCTTCTTTCTTTGTAAATATTTTTGCAATTTCATTTTCAATTTCTTCATTGTAACATTAAAGTTAGGCGTTCCACTTTTGTCTCTCAAGCTTGGGTAGTTCTGTTTTATTACTCTAAGTACGTGTGTCAGTACATTTTCGGTTACAGCTTCTAGATGACGAGCGACCTTTATAGAAAATAGAAAATGTCAATTTTCACCGAAAATAAATCTCAAGGCTATTTTTACCCGACTGCAGCATAGCCTAAAGGAGTGTCACGTGTTTGACCTGTATGTATGTACAATCGTACTTATGTCCAACCCTATGTTCCTCGTATTTACTAAACCACTTAACCAATTTTGATGATTCATACGTGGTCGATTCGTCTTGATAGCGCGAGTGTCATAGGGTATACTGATAATAGATATCATTAAAAATCAAGATGGCGGATAGAAGGCGCCAATTTGTGTCTTGAAAAACATTTTCGTCGACAATTCGTCCGAATCAATCGAAAAGGGGTATCAAAATACAAATTTTTAAAAGACGATTAGGTACAACAATAAATACAACTTAAATGTTTAAAAGTAATTTAGATAAAAAAAATGTTAAATAAAACTAAAAATGAATAACTGAGTAAAACTAAAAAATAAAATAATAACTTACATTTGTACACAATAATTTACAAAAGCAAACTATAAAGATGGGAATTAGTTGACAAAGAAACATAGTACACGAACATGCACTCGGAGAAATACAGACAGGCAGCTATGATAAAACATGTAGGTGTAGGATAGTATTATGTTCTTTGTCAACTTGTTGTGTAAATTATTGTTTTAAATAAAAACAATAATTTACACAAATAAAAAACCCAACTGTGACAAAGACCACCTAACGACAGTTTCATTCCGCACTTAGGGAATTGCCGGCTTATAAGATTTGTGGGAATCGTAACTCTAAGTGACAGTAATTTTTTTTTATTGGTTTAACTATAGGTATCGGAACTACTTTTATAAATATAAAAGGTTGTACGAGTATGTGTGTGTAGGTTTGTTACTCCAACACGCTCAAACAGCTGAAAGAGAATGGGTTTCGATAATACCTATTTAATATACAAATATGGTTACCTGGAGTAAACCATAGGTTATTATTAAGGCAGCTAGGGATGTCCCTGAGAGAAGTGGTCACTAGTATACATATAGTGTACAAAATTATTTTCGAAACTAATGCAAATCTTCACGTACTTATAGTAAATCATAAAGATAATAATAATTATATAGTAACCCGATTATAATTTTAAATGAATTTGTACAAGAGACTTATTAAAAGCACACAAAGAGAGACTCTTTTAAGAAAATGATAATTCTAAGCAAAAGTTTACAAATAAAAGACTTAAAACAAACAAATGATATAAGGATAATAAAACAATTCATCACGTGTCGTAGTTGTGACAATACGCAGAGATTGATTGCTTAGGCTTGCCACATACTAGAATATTTTAAGTCAGTAGCAGCAATTTTTCTTCGAGTTGTTCAATAAACAAAAATTCACCCCGTGAAAAATTAACACGTGTGCTCTCACCTCCGTTTTAAATGCCCACTACTCCTCAATTTATGTTTACGATACATATCTATGTGTACAATGTAGGTTATTCAAAGGAGTTTATGAAGATCTTAGATTATTGACATAGATATAAATAATCTAAGATGAAGATATTGATTTAAATGTGAAAATAAAACAAATATTTCTAATTTATGTAAGATCCGAGTATGCAAATAAAAGCATTATTAAAATTTAGAGAAAACCATGTCCACGCGTGTCATGTCGCCATTATAGTAGGGGAGCCCAAGAGGGGATTTTCTGTAGTTACTCGAGCGCGGCAGATTAACATAAAAGAGGTTACCTTGCACTCTATTGAGTACTTTCACCATAATATAAGTCTTCTATATAAAGGGGCGCGTCTAGGGAAGCCGATTAAAATATTTAAAAAATGTTTTGATAAGGTAGAAATACTTGAAACCGTCAGATTAAGGTGTGGTAGGCTAGTCACATCCTGAAAAGTGTCCAATTTAATAATCTGCCGATTTTAATCGGCTTCCCTAGACGCGCCCCTTTATATAGAAGACTTATATTATGGTGAAAGTACTCAATAGAGTGCAAGGTAACCTCTTTTATGTTAATCTGCCGCGCTCGAGTAACTACAGAAAATCCCCTCTTGGGCTCCCCTACTATTATCTCGGAAATCCCAATTTATTTAAAAAAGTTGTCGCCTGACATTGATAAGGGCCGGTTCACTGCAGAGCATTTGCCCTATATCTATTGAATATATTATACATATTTATTAACTACAGAAGATATTCTTACCCTTCCAAGAATCTTCGACGTTTGATCTTCAAAGATGATATTATCGTAATATGATGAAATATTTTTAGATTTCTGCAAGTTAAAATGTTCATCAAATTCTATCTTATTTTAAACGATTTAGTAGCGTATCTGCACAGACCATTAAATAAAATTTTTGATCTAAGATACATAATATAATAAGAATAGTTTTTATATAATACTAGCGGCCCACCCTCGCTTAGCTCGAGTTCGTCCCTAGTCAAAAACAATAACAAATCTATCCCACGGGAACCGTAAATTTTTCCGGGATAAAATCTTATGTGCTATTCCATACTATAATCTATCTCTGTGCCAAATTTCATCCAGATCCGTTCAGATGTTCTGGCGTGATTGAATAACAAACATCCATTCACACAAACTATCGCATTTATATAGTAGCACAGATCATATATTACTACATAGTAAGATTTAGATTCTACTGTCTTACCATAAAACCGTTTACTTCAAAAACATGCAAAAAAAACATTGCAAACGGAATGACATAAATTAATTTCATTCTTGTTTAATTTTTTACTTTAAACACGCAATGTCTATAATTTACTGTTTTAAGTGACAATCCGCTTTTAATTTAATTTTTTTACACTTGCAAATTCATTTTCTGTATCAAACACGGCTGAAATTGCTCTTAATCTTACTTTATTTGCGTCGTTAAACGTTAAACAAAGTCACATTTGTGACTACATTTCCGTCTTAAAATACACATGAGCCTTTAATGCAAATGTCAACATCTTGCAAATCTGTGCAAGATTTGATCTTATTGTCAAAGCAAAACGTATTTAGTGTAAGGTGCACTTAGCTTAGCTCAAGCCATTTAATATGTACATATCTATATTTCCCTAAACACATCGCGATAGATTTAAATATAAAAAACTAACATTTATGAGTATTAATAATAATTATATTTGTACTAGTAGTTTTATAACTGCCTCGGTGGTGTAGTGGCTAGCATGTACGGCTATACATCCGGAGGTCCTGGGTTCGAGTCCCGGGTCGGGCCAAGTTTAGTTATCTGGTATTTCTGTTTAGTAAGCCTCAGTAAGTTGGCGGTGTTTCACCCCCCGTACCGCGAAGAGCACGTAAAGCCGTCGGTCCTGCGCCTTAACTCTCACTGGTCGTGTCGAGTAGTCGTCCCACCGTAGTATGAGAGTGACAGGAATAGAGAGTGCACTGGTGTCTGCGCGCACACTTGCGCACTACAATATCTCTTGTGCAGATGGCTAGTCTCAATGAGATTATACTATCTGGTATCCATAACACAAGCCTCGTAGCTTACCATGGAATTAGATGGTGATGTTCCAACATATTTATTTATATATTTAAGTCTACCACCTGAATAAACAATCGCCATTCTGTATTAGATGCCAGCCGATAGCATATCGATTTGCAAGCAATCAAACCTATTTATCGGCCGATACTGAATAGTTATAATACGCAGTTGCACTCATGTTCATACT